GCGTAACGGGCCTGACAATTTTTGAATTTGTCAGGCCCGAAGAGGGGACTGTGAAAGTTACTAGTGACCCCCCCCTTAACAGAGCAGCCTTTATGTCAACCAGTGGCCATTAGGGGGAAGCAGACACTTCAAGTACACAGTAGCCTGAACTTTTCAATTGTTTTCCCTTCAAGGCCTTAAGGTAGTTGGAGCTGGTCCCAAGCCGGTTTTCACTGACCAGATAGCAAAAGCATGGGTCTGACAACCATCAATCAAGTGTTAATACTGCAAGGACCTTTGTCTGAATGTGTATAAAGGATCTGTAAAATGTGTGTAAGACAGAGTTTTTGTACTAAGGTGCAAAGCTCTCCTTTCTTCTGCAGAATAAAGCAACTCTTCCTTATCCCTGTCTGGCTGTTATTGGCTCTCACCTAGGTGGACCCGATATTTCGGTAACAAAGTGATATGGAAACACTGGGGTTGGACTTGAATTATAAGGGGCCTGGCAGCAGGTGCCCCCGAGCTTTGTCACCCACTCCCTCCCAGTGCAAATATTTTAATCCTACATCACCCCCTCCTTCCCAGTGCAGATGGCTTAACCCTCTCCATCTGTCCTCCCCCAGTGAAGATGGTTTAACCCACTCCTTAGTTTAATCCTACTTCACGCCGCCTCCCTGGTGACCATGGTTTAACCTTCTCCTCCCCAGTGCAGATGGTGTAACTCCCTCCAAGCGCAAATAGTTTAACCCACTCTACCCCTCCTGCCCAAGACAGAAGATTTACCCTATTCTCCCACTCCTCTCGCAAGCAGAGTGGTGTCTCCGTTTTCCCAACCAGTGGAGATGATTTAACCTAACCCTCCCCCCTCGTCAGTAGAGATGGTTCACTCCACTCCATCCCTCCAGTGGAAATTGTTTATTCCTCCCTGCACGCAGATGGTCTCTCCCGCCTCTCGTGGCCCCGCCCCTCTGCCAGGCCCTGGACTCCCTCGCTTCAGGACGCGGTAGGATTCCGGCTCAGGATTGGCCAAGCCGGAGGCCGTGGAGCCAGGAAGCCAATGGCCGGGGGTTGCCCCCGCCCCATCCAAAATGGCGGCGCCGGAGCCTGGCAGAGGGGCCTCCGGAGGGAGGAGGTGAAGCGGCCTCGGCCCGCGGCTCCGGGACCTGCCGCCCCTGCTCGTCCCCCCGGAGCCGGCTGGGACCCGGCCCCAGCCTCAGCCATTTCCGCTGAGAGCAGCAAGCAGTTCTGGAAGCGGAGCGCTAAGCTGCCGGGGAGGTGAGTGTGGCTGGGGGCACCTGGACCCCGGGCTCGGTCCCGGCTAATCGGTGACACCCCCCCGGTCTCGGTCCCAGCTAATCGGTGACACCCCCCCCGGTCTCGGTCCCGGCTAATCGGTGACACACACCCCCCGGCTAATCGGTGACACACACCCCCCGGCTAAT